GGAGTGTAAAGAGTGGTTGGAGAGACTGCTTTGAGTGGAAGAAATTGAAGAAGCTTTGAAGAGTTTTGAAGGGTCTAAAGCTTTGTGGCCAGATGGATATAATTTCAATTTTATCAAGTTTGTATGGGGCACTTTAAAGATTGATTTCATTGATATTTTTATCAAATTTTACCATAATGGAAGGTTAGTGAAAGGGTTGAATTGATCTTTTTTAGCTTTAACTCCTAAGAAATTAAGTCCTAGAGAGCTTACGGATTATAGGCCAATAAGTCTAATTGGGTGCATGTATAAATTGTTGGCAAAGGCGTTAGCTAGTCAACTCAAGTAGGTGATGATAGGAATAATCAATAATACTCAATCTGCTTTTCTAGGAAGATGTTAGTTGGTTGATAGTGTGCTTGTCTTGAATGAAGTTGTGTATGAAGTAAAAAGGAAAAAGTAGTCAACTTTTGTTTTTAAAACTAATTTTGAAAAAAGTTTAGGATTATATGGATTGATCTTTTTTGGATTGGATGATGGATAGGTTTGGATTTGGGATCAAGTGAAGAGGATGGATTATGGAATGCCTATCAACTGTAAGAGTATCGATTTTAGTAGATGGTAGTCTGATAGAGGAATTTGAGGTAGGGAAAGGGTTGTAATAGGGAGATTTATTATCTCTTTTCCTTTTCTTGATGGCTAGTGAAGGATTACATGGGATTGTTAAACAAGCAGAGGATGAGGGATTGTTGCCTGGGGTGGAGATTGGTAGGAGGGGGATGGTTGTGTCTTTACCTCAATTCGCTAATATACAATTATTTTAGGTTGTGTAGAAAATGAGAACACAATTATGTTGAAAACTATTGTACAATAGTTTGAGTTGATTTTGAGATTGAGAATTAATGTTAGTAAGAGTAGTGTTTATGGGTCAACATTTTGGAAAGATGGTTAAAGGGGGTAGTAAGTGTTTTGAGATGTGGGGTTGGAACTACACCTTTTACCTATTTAGGAATGCCTATTAGGGGGAATCTAGGGACAAAGAGCATGTGGGAACCAATTGTGAATAGATTTCAAGTCAAGGTTGCCATTTGGAAAATTTTCGCTTTGTCCTTTAGAGGTTACAACACTCTGCTAAATTTAGTACTCTTTGCGATTCCAATTTTTTAGGTCTTTTTTTAATGTTGAAATGTCTGATTACTAAATTAATTGGAATACAAGGGGATTTTTTATGGGGAGGGGTTGAGCTTAGAAGGAAATTTTGCTTGTTATAACAAGAATAAGGGGGGCCTTAGGGTACATGATTTAGGTAGAAGGAATTGGGTTTTGCTTGGGAAGTGGTGGTGTAGATTAGGTGATGGGTCATAGGGGCTATGGAAACAGGTGTTATGGGAGAAATATGATGGGGGGAAGAAGGAGGTGGATATTACTCCATTGGAAGGTTTATGTATATCTCGTATTAGGAAGGATATCTTGAGTGTTGGTAGGATATCCGATAAGCTTAGAGATATGTTAGTGAAGTGGTTTAGGTGAGAGGTGGGAGATGGTAAGTAGGTGGGCTTTTGGAGGGAGAATTGGGTTAGTAATAAAACATTAAAGGATGTGTATCCTAGACTATTTGAGTTGGCAATCAATAACAATGGAAAAATTCAGGAGATGAGGGGGGTGGGAGGGAGGCTGTTAGAGATGGAAGTTGGATTGGCAACGGTAGAGATTGGGTAGAGAGATTAATGAGGTGTTGTGGGAATTGTTGGGTAGTGTGTGTATAAGGGAGGGTAGGGAAGATAAGTGGAAGTGTATACATGATGAGGAAGGAATTTATGTTGTTAAGGAGGCTTATGCTTTTTTAGGTCCTAAGTGAAGGAATTCTTGAAAAACAAGAGTGCAAGTTGATATGGTGCAAATTTGTTCCTTCTAAAGTTAGTTTTTTTTATTAGAGATTATGTTTAAATAGGCTTGCCACAAAAGGTAATTTATGAAGAAGGGGGGTGATTCGGCAAGGGGAGGAGTTGCTATGTGATCAATGCAATGAGCAGATGGAAGAGAGTAGCCATTTATTTTGTACATGTAAAGAATCACGGATGGTATGGATGAAGGTGTTAAAGTGGTAGGGTTTGGAGGGAGTGTTGCCAAATATTGTGAGGGGGTGGCTAAGGTGTTTATATCTAGTTTAGGAAGGAATATAGGAAGGGAGATGGCTGCTTGTATTGTTTTATTGGTATCTTGGTATCTTTGGTATTCAAGGAATAGCATAGTAATTCACAATGAGACGAGTTTTGGGCTGTTAGTGCTGGATGCAATGCAAGGCAAATCATTTTTATGGATTGAGCACAGGGTGCAAAGATGTGTTTTTTTCCTTTTATGATTGGCAATCAAAACTAATTGAATTTGCTTTAGGTATTCAAAGGAATAAAAGTTGTTTAAAACAATTCTTGAACAGGGATCACGTTGCAAGGATAAATAGCTAGATACAGGGGTCTTTTTTTGGTCTATCTAGAGTTTAAATTGTTGCAATGTACATGTAAATTGGTTATTGTGCATAATGTTTTTAATTATTGATATGAGTGCCCCTTGTATTCTATTTTTTATTATAATAAAATTTATTTTTGGTGATAAAAAAAACCATATTAAAGCAGGAAAATACCAAAAAAAGAAAAAAAGAAAAACATGTCAAACAACAAAACAAAAATGGAAAAGAAGATAAACATGTCCAAGCATTATTGAATCGGTAGTGGTTGGCTTACATTTTTTCCACACAAGAACCAGGACTACATTAAAGAGTAATTTTTTTTGAAAAAATGTAAATAGCAAATTGTTTGATGACAAATGACTTTTAAATAAATATTCTGACAAAAAATTAGTATGTAAAATGGATTATATTAAATTATAAAATATATATTTTTAAATAAAAGAAAATTTCATGTACGGATAGCCAAAACAAAAAAGAGACCGATAACAAAAAAAAAAAAGACCATATAAAGAAAAAATTAAAGGTAATGATAGGAATGACAAAATTTTGAGATTAATGATGTAATTAAATTAATTGATGTATATAACATTATCAATTTTAAAAAATGTCAATCATTAAATAATATAAAATTTACTTTTTAATAGTTTAATGACATAACTTACATCAAGTTATTTGTCTCAAATTTTGATCTCATTTATCATTATTTAAAAATTAAACTAATATTCATGCACTTCTGAGATTAATTACTCTTTGGTCCAGTTAAAAGCATACCATCCATGTTGAGACTAGAAAATTCATGAGAAATTATCTCTTTATTAGTCTTTCTAAAAAATCAAATCTTACTCAACAAATAGGCATAATTGTAACAATTTTCATCGAAATATGACAAATGAACACATCTAAACTTGCTTTAAGAGAATAATAGGTATCATAGTGTAGTTCATGTCCTAAATTTTACTATATGACCGTGCCTAACAATAGCACAACCATGTATATACATGAGATACTATAGTTTCTACTAACAAGAGCTTAACCAATACATTATTTATCTTAAATTTGATCAAATATAAGTATATCATCATTTATGTTTTATATCTCCTTTTTTACACAAATTTCAAAAATTGTTTTTTAATTTCTAGGGCACATGTTTAAGGACACATTTTCAATATTAATTGGCATTAAAAAATAGGAGTTGACCTTTATTTAATCACTTGGCTAATACTTGGTCAAAAAAAAAAAAATCACTTGGCTAATTAAAGTAATCTAGATGATATATTTTTGTCATTTTTAATATAAATTAATGACAAAAGGATGTATAACTATGTGCCAATTGCACAAACTAAAAAAAAAAAAAAACCTTCAAATTATTATTTATAATTTATGAGGAACCAACTGAAGTCACTCTGAACAACCTTGGATCAAATCTTAGTGATGCCTAAAAGTAGATTACCTATTTGATAATATTATTCTTGATTTTGATGATTTGAAAACCAAATGTAAATTGAAATATTTACTTGATTTACTTGTGAATTAGAATATACTTGATTTATTTCTAGTTATATTAGATTTATTTTAATAATTTTCTAAATATTATCTTTTTTTAATATATTTCCTTTTTAGTGGAAGCCTATTTAATTATGTGATTATCTATTCAATATATTTCCTTCATTGTGGATAGCAAAAACAAAAACTATATTCTAAAGCTGAGGTTTCAATCCTTGGCACAAGGTGTGGAACCCTTGATAATTTTGTTTTTGGAGTGACAACGCAGAAAATTGCTAAGGTTCCAACCCCTAAAGGTAGATTCCAACCTATCATGCTAAAGATTTTGAAAAACTTACTATACTTGGGTTCCAACCCCTAAAGGTAGATTCCAACCCATCATGCTAAAGACTTTGAATAACTTACTATACTTGGGTTATATTCTTTCCAATCATGCTCCAACGATCATAAGCCTTTGATTGATCAATCTTAAGGTATATATATCAAACCTTGAAGCAAAAAAAAAAAAAATGCAAGAAGAAAAAGAAGTGAAAAGGATTGAGAAAACTGTGCTAGATCCAATAATCCATCCTTAAGATATAAAGAGGGTTGAGAGATTTGTAATAAGGGAATTGAATGGTTTAATAGCACCTATAAGCTATTGGTAAAGTGATCGGATAACCTTATTAGATCTAGAGGAAACCAACCTTGTGGTATAAGATTAGGTTTGTGAGAAATTGTAACGAGTTAAATTGTTGAAGGTGAATAGCGTCGACAAAGTTATTGTGAACAGTTGCCTCTACATTCGAAAGTTGGAGGAAAGCTTTTCAATCCAAAGCAAACTCTCAAATTAGTCCTCAATTGCCATGAGTTATCTTAGATTTGAGGTGACATGCAGTGTCATAAATTTTTGATTTAATACTTTTACAAACTCAAATATAGAAAGTCTATAGCTAGACCAAAAAGACTGAAATTTACTAATGACCTTTTTTCAGAGTTTAAATATAATTATTTTTATAGCTGTATCATATAATTTCTAGAAGAAATTATGCGTATTACAAACAAAAAAATGATGCATATTAAAGTTTTAATCGGTGTCAAGTTATACAAATACTTGTTAAGTTACTCCCAGGGAATTCAACACCACTCAATAACAAGATTGATTAAAGGTCACAGGAAGGAGCTTGAGAGTTGGAACCATGTGTGGCCTGGTGCATTAGCCAGGGTACAATATTCCTGTATGGATCTTCTTCTCTTTTCTGCTTCAAGTAAGCAACGCATCTATGTAAATACAGTTGATAGCATTTCTCCCTATCTTTCAGTTCTTGCTTTCTTCCTTTTATATAATAAAACCAAACAAACAGTTTTTAACGTTTCAATTAAAGCCAGCCATGAGCCAAACCATAAATAAAAAAAAAAAATTACTCCATAAATTAATGTAAACAGACTATATATGTAAATACCTTGGGTTTCAATTGGTTTCCCAAAATAAAAATAATGTATTCCTGGAAACCTTGGTGCCAGTCATGGTTGGTAAAGTTGTTGGTTTGACAGCTTGCCATCTCCTTCATTCCTATCATTTCAAGATTACAGAAAGCTCATCAAATGGACATTGATTGCATTTTGTAATTTAAGACTCGATCAGAATATATACCTCAATAACACAGCCTCTTCTGTCAAATCTTCTATAAAATCCCTAAAGTAAGTATCTTCGTTTGATCACTATAATAAAAAATTCCTTCAGCAAAATCATCTGCTCCAACAACAACAAATGCTACTATTTTGGCTCCAAATCTAGCAGCCATCCTCACAAACCCTTTGACTTTTCTGGTCAAAATAACTTGTATGCTTCACCTTGGAAAAATTAATTAATCAATCTGCCTAGCTGCCTAGAGTTGAGTTATCACAGCTGCACAATACTATAGCTAAATATTCAATATGTTACTTTCCTGTGAAGAGTAGCGCCCACCCCTCCAGGGAAAAACAGGCTATGAGATTTTGAAGACATAAGCTTGTAGAAATTTGTTCCTGAAACAGGAACTGCCCCCATTAATCATATTGAGTCAAAGGTTGACACATCATGTAACCTGCCTTCTCTCAATCTTTCAAATAGCAATGGATGTGCTATCCCTCGCAAGAGGATATTTCTCTAGTAAGAAATTCAGATACCAAGGAAATAACTTCTAGTCCCAGTAATATGTGATAACCAATGTACAGGACGGGTCCCTCCAATGGAACCCCGGCAAGGCCCTTCACCACCTTCCCATCCTCGGTAGTTGAGAGCATCACAGAGCTAAGAGCAACATTTAACCATCTGTCTAGGAACAAAGTCAGTTGAGAAATCCAAAATCAAGACTTATATGTGATGGCACTGCAATTCAATTAAACATATAAAAAATTCCTATCGTGAGCATGATAAGTGTCAGGTTTTACTGTCATCAATATTCCACTAATTAATCTTTGACATAATATGCTCTTTTCTTGACATAACAATAAGCTCTTGTTATTCTGCGCCCTCCTCAGTACAGAATACAACTGGTATGTCTCTAGCCTTTTGGTACATGGTTGACATTTGCTTTGTCCAAAGATGCTTACCTATTTGATTCATATAACTTCTAGAATTCAGGAGGTGTAGGTGGCACGTAATCTGACAACAGTCATGGTATTTTCCACAATGATAGAAGCTAGTTCCCTCGATGATTGTTACCAAATCAATACCACCTTCCTGCATGAGAGGCCAAAGTAACTATTTTATAACATCACAAAACCTTATAATCTAAGATGACAACTAGAGTAAAAATTAGGACATAAAAGGGAAAAAAGTGAAAATTCAGATGCTCAAAAGAACACCCTCCTCCTCTCAAGACCTACAGTTTGAGAGAGACATACCAGGAAGAAAAAATGGTGGCTTCAATCGAACTTACGAATCTCACAATTTGGGAGTGCATGGCATAGTCTTTCACCTTCTTCTTCACTAGGAAACAATTGATCTCTTCCACTAGAAAACAAATGGTTAATTCAACCAAAGATGATTGTGAGGATCATAAACTTCAAATTTGGACAGTCAACTTTGTTGCAGTGCTGCCCTAAACAGATGGCATTACAAGTTACATTACATTCGTCTGAATGACAAGATGCTCTTCAACATAGTTTGTGACAGTGTACATATTTAGGACTGTGATGATAAAAACTGCAAGTAAATATCTTTTCTCTCATTTCAACAATAGAGAAGTAGGCATTATGCATTTAGGTTATGAAAAAATATTTTTCAATCTTTATTTGTTTATAATCTTTGATTCTGCCATTTTCAGTTGACTGCTTCTTTCAATAATTTTGTTTTCCAAACTTCATTTTTCTGTTTGGTGCATTAGCCACTAAATAGGAGAACCTCAAGTTTAGACAAAGCCATTTAATATTGATCAATAGCTCTTCAAAACTGAAAGTGAAATCAACAAGTTACCTGCAAAGTAATAGCACTTCAGCTTTTGTGGCATGGAGATGAGAGTTGGAATATGCAGAAGCAGATTTCAGCATTTGTAGCTTCCATTCGAGCAATTCTTTGGGTAAGATTTCAACCAGAACCTGTGACTTAAAATCATCATTTATCTTTCTACAATTTGCAGCATGTAAATCAAAATCAGAATTTCTTCTTAATATGAACTAAAGAAAGATGTATAATGCACTCTAAAACACAGGAAAAGAGGTATATATGCTGATTTGTATTTACAGAGGGGTTAGATGATGCAGCAACAATATCCTGTGACAGCTTTCCAACAACAGATTGTCCCAGAGGAATGCCCTTCACTACATTATCCATCAGCATCCTCAACTGGTCACCTAAAGAAATGATTGACAACTATAAAAGTTAGAAACTGCAATTAATATGACAATCCAGACAGCATAGCCACCTACGTTTAAGACATACTTCTCTTAAGATGCAAATAACAAGCCAAGAAAACAGAAGTTGAAGACCAAGGCAGCAAACCTGTGGTTAAGGTTAACACGGAATTTCTTGCCAAAAGAAAGAATTCATCAGGAATGCATTGTAGTAAAGGTAGAAGGGGTTTCAATTGCGACTTGCCAAAAGAAGTAGCTGTGAATACAAATATTCAAGCCATGAATTACATATAAATATGATCAAAAGGACTAAGACTAAAAGCAACCAACTGAATGTCATCTATAATGACAGCCATTTTTGGCTTGGTACGAAGGCAAGTAAAGCATTTTCGCAAAGAGGGATCTACATCTACTGAAGGGGGGAACAGTTTTGGTACACCAATTATGTGGCAACTGATTCCATTTAGCTTTGAGGAAGGAAATTATAATAGCCACTTGCGAATATTGCAAAAATATAATTACGACGTCAAGGAATGATGCTTCTAAAGAATTACAACAAATTTAGTCCTTACCTGGGTTAGACAAGATAAGTAGGAGATCAATATCAGGGTTACGGTTTGAAACAGCTAAGGCAAGGCATCCTCCAAGGGATTCCCCAACAAGATATATTGGTCTATTTGGCGACCTGGAGTATTCTGACCTAATTGTACTTTCAACAAGCTGCACAAGGCCTGAATCCCATAAGAAACACAGAAAATTAAAACCAAAATTTGTATTAACAAACATGTTAATGTACATGTACGTAGTCACAACTACTCATCATTGGATACCTGTAAAAGATGTCCTGTCCTTGACTGGAATATGCAAGCACCAAATGTCAAAGATCCTTCGTTTCATTTAGGGAAAACATTAGTAAGCACAAAACTAGCTGATCAACAAGTGTGAAGTCCAAATTAAAACAAAAATCCTAATCCTAAATTAAAACTAATTTAAGAAAGCAAATACATCTACCAGTAGATGAATTCATGAGCTAAAATTATACCTAGTAATATTTTGAACACATATTCTTTTTTTTTTCTTTTGATTGGAAAGCCATATGCGAGCTTTATTAAGATTGTAAGAACAGGAAGTACATATTCAGATAAGGGATTGATCTCCTGTTACAATATGCTCAATGGGAAATGGTATGTCATCCACCCAAAACTCAT